CAATATAAATTCAACTTTTTCCCAATACAGATAGTCCCCCACTTTCCATTTATTTATCAATTAATATTTGGGAAGTGGATCTTCATTAAAAAGGGATTTTTTGCCATAATCAATGCGATGGCAGTATTGCCTCTTCAATTGTCTCTTCTATTTAATGCATCATATACGTGTCGTCTTCTCATTAGTTCTGCGATTTTGCAGCCTTTTTCTAAGGCTTTTGTAACTCCACTATTCACGAAGTGATAGTTGCCTTTATTATAGGCTTTCCATCATTACACTTTTTAATTACTGACGGTTGAGTTTATATATAAACTTGCCCCTTTTCTTTCTTTGTCTTCTTCTCCATAAATCTTTAGCAAACGTTTTTCTTCCTTATTTTTGCTTCCCTTCGATTCATCTCTGCTCAACAATGGCGTCTCCAAACCTTAACCCTAGAAAAGTTCCTATTTTAGACAAATTCCCCAATGCCCCTGTTAGACATAGAAGAGACAGAGGAGGCAGACTTCGTACAGGGTTAGAATCTACTCGAGGCGGCTCTTCTGGTTCTTCTTCTAGGAGTTCTATTCTGAAAACTCCTTCTTCTAAAGGTAAAGAAATTGCTGATTCTTCTCGAGAACCTTTAGTTGATGAAATCATACCAAGTGATTTATCTTTTGTAAGTGATAGACAATCCCTTCAAAAGCAAGTTGCTGGTTTAGACAAAACTGACACATATCCTACGTTAGTGACCGAACTTACAATCCCTACCATCAGAGGAGATTGTAACTGGAAAAATAGTCTTTGAATGTCAATTCCTTCCATAAACCAAAGAATTTCTTCTTTTAGGATTGGATACTCTTTTGTCTATACTTACCCTTTTACTTTGGGTTTTAATCCCCCAATTGACTCAATCATCCTCGATTTTTGCCGTTTCTTTAATATTTGTCTGGCCCAAGTTGGTCCTTTAGTATGGAGAGCAGTGGCTTGTTTGAGATATCTTTCTACCAAAGCCACTGTTAATTTCACCTTTTCTCACCTTATCCATTTATACCACCCTAATTTGATACATCATGGAGTCTTTACCTTAACTGCGAGAAGCAAGAAGGTTTTGGTAAGTACAGAAGATGACAATGATCGTGGATGGTATGCCCGTTACGTTGCTGTGCGTACGGTGGATTTACTTGGTGAAACAAATATTCCCTTCCCTGAGAAGTGGAATTTTGCACGTAAGTTTTTTTTTATTTGACCGTACCTCTTTTTCTGTTGAGAATTTCGATTCTTTTTCTAAATTTGTCTCTTTTTGGTTTTTTGTAGCAACCATGGGAGATGTGGAACCTGTTCCCAACTTTCGTGGTTGGGTAGATTCAATTTTGAAGGTTGCTCCTAAGGAGCAAAGAACTTGGAAATCAATTTCCGCTTTACATGGCTGGAAAGTTAAAACACACGGTATCGCCTCTTTTCTTTATACATTTTTTCTTTTTGCACATTAAGTACTTTTTTCTTAATGTTGATTGTGTACTCTTCTTTTAATCAGGATTTGGTAACAGAGGAATGACAGCTGATGTTGTCACAGCCCTTCGCATGTCTGGTAATGCTGCACTTGACTTGGACAAGACTCGAACCTTGCTTCAAAAAAGGAAAGCTATAGGAGAAGGTTCTAAGAATGAGGAAGAGGGAGGTACCTCGTCAATAGCTAGGCCACGAATTAGGAGACGAGTTATTAATGATGATGAAATTGAAGATACTCCTGCTCAAACTTCGACCACCGAGCCTGTTTTGATTCCTTCAGATGAAGACACCGTGCCAAGAAACACAAATGAATCAACTCAGCATCTCTTTGATAGTGGTTTTGAGAGTGGCGAGCTCGGACCTGTTTTCGATGAAGTTCCTCTTTCTTCATTCGCACCTATTTCTTCCATTCATTTGCCAACCGTAAGTGTTTCTTTGCCAGCATTGACTATTTCTGTTCTTTCACCAGTTTTAATTGCTTCTACTTCCATTCCTATGTCTACTTCTTCCGTTCCTGTTCCCACTCCTACGACTCCTGTGGTGTTTACCTTTTCTACTACTCCCCCTTCTGCTGTTCCATCTTCATCTGTCCCACATATAGAAGTAAGTTCCAGTCAA